GACATTTCTTCATCATAGGTGAGTCATTTGACGACTTCTCTTCCATATTTCAACACCACTACCAACGCTCCTTATGGCGCACTCTGCCTTCAAAAAACGTCATACCATCAACAGTTGTCTCACCGAGTAACCTCGGTGACATAGGAACAGTATCAAGGCGATTTCCTCCGATTCCAAATACTACACTTTTATACAACCCCTTCCATGATTTGATATCAGTTCCTTTCTCTTCTCGATGTCATCCACAGGGGCACTTTTCGCTATTAGCTTAGAATTCATCCCCTTTAGTGAGTAGGCGAGATGGATTTGCTCAAAGACATGCCCTTTTCACCACTGCTGAAGTGGGCTGTAATCGGGCTACAAGCTTGTCTTCTGAACCCATGAGACCCATGTCGGTCATGTATTCGCGGCGATGTCGCCTATTCGCGGCTGATACCTTTGCAGTTCATCTTGACCTATGCAGGTCCAGTGATCACGGTCAACTGCAATGATGAAGGCCTCAGTGAAGGCAAATTTTCCTTGTTTTCCATTGGTAACCCAACTAGCCGCTGAACTTTTGTTTTCGCACCTCACCGCCTAAAACGTGCAATTGTAGGACGTAGTTCTGAAGAGACACCTCGTACTGCTCAGTGAAAACTGTTGATCAGGTATGAATCTCCAGAGTGCCGATTTACTAGTGAGCAAAAAATAAGGTTGAAAATGCTGTCAAAAAGGCTCCAAACGAGGGCTTTTGAATGGGCGGGCGGCGCAGTTTGCCGACGGGGGACACTTTCGTTGCTTGACTAGTTCTGGTTTACAAGTCTCACTCTGGTGAAACCTGTGAACTCTTGTGAAGCTGGAGCAAGCTCGTCAAGCCATCATGGTAAAACCTGTCAACTCGAGAAGAGGCTGTCTAGATGGGTCGACACGTCGATGGGAAGTCGTTAAAGTGCAAAATGCCCCCCGTCGCCAAACAGCGCCTGGGCGGGCATACGGGATACAGAGAAACGGAACTGTCCAAAAGCCAGACACAACGATGCAGCACATAGCTGCGCGAGCAGCTAAGGTGGGTGTGGCCCGGTCCGCTTCGTATGAAAGGGCGTGTCAGCTGGCTGGGGTTGGCACACCACCAGCCCATTCTTTTTGCAGTGAGTGAGCGACACCAGCACGTGGAAAATGACAGGCACGAACGATATGATACAGTACAGTACGATATGTCGTTTGCCGAAAGAAAAAAAACGCCAAACCCGTTCACCCTTGACACGCCCCATCATTCGCAGCGAACAAGACTGTGTATGTTAGTTGCATTAGGACTGAAGAAAGCGTGATGAGAGATAAGTCACATGCCCTACTGTTCTTACCCCCTCCCCCTTTTTATTGGGAGATGGGATCCTACCTACTGGGTAACCGTAGGATGTATCTCTAAATGGGTCGTTGATCGTTGAAAACTTCAAAAATGATCAATAGGTTGAGGTTTCCTTATCCTTGTGAAACTATCAGTTGCAGAAGGCGACGGAAAGATTGAAAAATAGTGCGAATAAGACTGACCTTAGTTGGCATCACAGTCAGTATTTTGATATCAGTGAAGACAGTAGCACCTCCATGGACAGGCTGTGACATCTGGAATAAAAAAAAATTACGGGAACCATCTGGGAACTGAACGGGAATAGGAAATCAGAATGTGCAAGTGAAACATTACTCGATAGGGATGCATTTACTACAAATGCGCACAATCTGTCAGTATCACTTGCCCTTTACTCTCCCATGTTTTGGAGTTTGGTTCTGTTTTTTCCAGAACTTGCATCATCAGGTGTATCTGCCAAATATTCCGAG